CTATACCTGTAAAAGACTTGTTATGCAATACAAAGGCCTCAAACCAAAAGATTTATGGCACCATACACTTTAATAAGTTTTTTATTCAGACTTGTTAAGATTACATAAATTTGGTATTGGAATATTTGTATGTGAAGTTACAAGAGTAAAGGCCTCTTAACTTCCAGGTGATTAACAAGTATGACGCCAACTTCAACACACCAAGTACAAACTAATGAGGGGGTTGAGCACCATAAATGGAGCAACCCAAGTACTGAGTGTGCCCCAAACTGATTGGGTATAGAGCCACTTACAATAAGTGTCAACACCCCCTCAGGATATGACACACCTGATTGGCACTGGCATTAAAATTGCCGGACATTTATATTTATATTAAAATGTCCTACAGTACTAGCATGTATACATGTAGTCCCAGATCGAATCAGTTTTTGAAGCAGAATATACTGCTGCAATTTAATGTACTTGCAGTATGGAATTCAAAATTATGGTATAAGCCAAAAAGAGGTTAGGCTTCAATATGACTTCCTTTCTTGATTCGTGACCTCAATCCAGAAACAGTGAACACCCACCCAAGTAATTAAAGATTTAATGGTAATAAAGATGTAATGTGCATTTTATAGTGCATACCTCCTTAAGACATTCTCAATACACTACATAGTCTAGCACTGTACGACCTAATAATAAATTAGCTGGCTTTTATTATTGCTTTATTCTGCAGACAGCTAAAATACTTTTAAATTAAAACTCAGTTAAGATGCCAAGTTAAATACAAGAATACATTGTTTTTAACAAATTAATTTAAAACCGAGCTTGATTCAAATCAACTGAAATTAAACACATTAATTACATCTATCAGTGAATCATACTGTAAAAGAAATTGACCACATTATGATATAAGCACATGTGAAGGGATAATTAATTAACACAGTTCTGTCAAATTGCCAGACAGATTAGATTCCAATCGTAGTTATTGGGTAATAAACACAGGATGAGTTGTAATCTAATAATGTAGCAGCCAGACACAGGGTGCAATTAAAACAAGGTAATTGCTAGAAGATACAATAACAAAAATGAACAATCAACTGAAGAGACCCTTCATTGACGCTGTTTTAAATGTTTGATGTTGTATGTATTAAATAGTGTTTACAACATCAATCTTGCGTGTTCGTGTGATGCAGTCTTTTATTTTGTAGCCATCTTAGATAGTTTTTTTTAGTCCACTGTTTTGATTTTCTTAGAATTCAACTTTACTCCCAACAACTAATATTTCGAAGACCATAGAGAGTAATTGTTGTACAATGTCAAGGTTGGAAATGCCAAACAACAGAGGTTCCGCTAGTTGACGATGCAGATTCAACTCCGCCTACATCATCTGAGTTTGGGATGTTCTTTGCTACAACCTGTCAATTTAGAAGTTTTGATTTCGCTAATTCATCCAATTGGTTTGCTACTGATTTGAGTGATTAGATTACCTGCTTGGGCATTCTGCTACCTTCCAACACGTCCAGTAAAGCCCTTTACGAACATTTGAGTTAAATTAAGATTGTATTGAGAAACCGATTCAACAGTACCGCTACTAATATCAATGATGTCAGCCGTACCACAACGCAGCAAGTGATGGCAGACATTCCTTCATTCATAGACTCTCCTGAATGCGTTTTCACTCAGGAATTCTCCAGAGATAATGAATGGAGCATATAGAAGACTTGCAAGATTAAATTGCAAGAATATGTATTTTAATGTTATTTTAACATGAGAATATAATAGTCATATAAATTGCAGTAATACAAAAGTGTTTATCAAACATACATGTCAATTTTCAATTTGACAAGTAACTCATAATAAATTATATATTTATTTAAAGGGCACTTGGGTTAAACACAATGTGTACAAAATGACAAGATGATACATGTACGTGTATATCCGTGTGTATGTTTGTTGTGTTGTTGAAATAATTAATAAAATGTTGGTTTTTTTCAGTAACTGAAAATTGAATGCTTTAAATACCATATTTTTGTCATATCATGTATACAATAAATATAACTTTTGGTTTGAGTGCACGTCTACTAAATATGCGTTTGCAATATGGTACGTAGATCAAATTTTACCTGTAGTTAAAATTCAATGAATAAAGATATCATATCACATCTTTCTTTTGATAACTCTTGGTTGGTTTATACATGTATATAGCAAAGGTGTGCAAATAATATGAACTATTGGCAGCCCAATCTTTGTGAAAAAACGGCTGACTATAAATCTGGGATGACCAGAATGATTTTCTATTCACAATTGGACCCAAACACATTACATTCGACTTTTTATAACACATGTACTATGGGCTTTCCATAATCTAGAGTATGACAATCCAACAATTATATATCGTTAATTTTGAAATATATGCGCATGGTTTGATGCAGAGTTTCTTATATTACTTTTATTATTAATTCAATTCATCTCACTATTATCACAGTGGAGGTAATTTGGCAGAACTAAAAAAAAGTGTGGATGCATGTAATGTTTTGCATAATTGATCGCAAATAAGATAACACTATGAACACTACACCAAGTTGTTGTTTTTTCAGGGCAAAATACTTGAAATCAATATCGATTAGACAGACGTAAGGTAAAATTTCAACTATCGGCACCACTCGGTCTGATTAAATGATGATCAAATCAAGTATCAATTGAATGAATGAAAACATATACTTGCACTGGTGACATACATACATGCTAATAGATTCTCTGTAGCATGCAGTAAAGTGTTATGACTGATTATAAACACGTGTGTGTTGTTTCTAACAATTTATCATGCTTTGAACACTGAAATCACATGACAATAGTGATTTTACAAATGAGTTGATGAACTAATACAGGGCATCTTGTTTTATGAGGGCACCCAAATCCAAGAGCAAAATTTCTGGACTGATTGAAAAATTAAAGAAAATATTAGACTCTCCTGATGGGCATTCAGGTTGGACATGTAATATAAAATGCTGT